CCATAATGTCCCTAATTTATGCAAGACATTAATGAGGAAATTTCTCCACGTTGATGGGTTTACCTTTGACCTATTAGATCCGTGCGTCTCGAAATGGCACTTGTCATTTTCATATGAATCGATTTCTTGTGCACGTCGTCATTATCGTCTTTCATGATTTCAACATTCTTAGTGTTATGACATTTCTATAGGTATTAATCAGTGGTGTAAAATAATCAAATTACGCGGCGTAGCAATGTGTTTCAGTAACAGAAGATTCCACAGTTACAATATCATATTACACGCATTGAAGATAGAGAATTTTTGTTCAAGCGCCTTATTGATTCTGAAACTTTTTAATTCAGACAAAAGCTTGTTTCTTTATGCGTGATAGAAAAGGCAATCTTTAATAAGAAAATTTTATTATCGCTGGATTTTAACATTATGATATTTTCTGTCTTGATAATTGCAAAATGTCGAAGCATAAAAGCCCACTGATTGCAAATGCTACACGTCCATTATATCAAGTTTTTTCAGTATTCAGCTTGTATCATTTTCGAGATAAAAGAGTCATAATATTAACCATAATGTAAGAACGCGAATCCTGTCTAGTAATGATCCTTTATTGTTCATTGTAATTACGTAAACTTTACTGGCGTAAGAATAACGACGTGATGGTATGCCTTATCGCTTTCTATTTACCGTTCTGTCAAGCATAAGAATCCTCGTTCCAACGTTGAAAATTCTTAGCCACTGTTATAAAGATAAAGGCACGTTTGTTATTAAAAGTAATCTTTCCGCTGGTCAACGTATAGAAATGAGCATGAATCATGCATCACATTGCGAGCTTCATATATCACGTTATTTTCGCGAAGCTAACGTGTCTCACGATTCCCCTCTACTGATTGCAATCGATATCGGCAAGCAGACTGTTAAATAATTGTTATTGTCCAGTGTTATGTCGATACGTGGAACACGACACACGATACGATTGTTCGCGAAATGAAACAATGAAACGCAGTTTGATTCCGTGTTTTTCGAAACTGGTCTAACATACGGTGATTCAGCGCAGCAACGGAGTAAAAATATCGCTCGTAACTCTATGACATCGAGTTCATAGGATCATAATCGTTACAAAGAAAAGCCGGGTTTATTTTCTCTATTAGCCATACAGAGTTTTTTCTCTCAGTGTGAGTGCTAAGGAATGTACACTGTCAAAAATATATGCCAGAGATAAAGTATATATTGATAGGCAGAATTTATTTTCGAAGAAAATTTTATACGGGCTTGATTTTTTTTCCTTTCTTTTTTAATTAAAAGCTTACTTGTATTTCATACATTTAATCGTACATTTCATATAAAAAATTTGGGGAAAGATTTTATTATTAATCTATTATTTATTCTTTAGGATTTCAGCCGATATAAATTGCTAATTTAAATATCAATAGCTTGCTATTTACATTTTAAAGTTAAATTTCTGATGAAATGAGGTCAATAATAAGATATAATGCATGCTTATTTCGGGACACTTGTTATAATATTTTAACTTGAAAGTGAATAGCAGGAGAATTCGTAGAATTAATTATGCTATCATGATTACTGAAAACAGAGCGTTAATTCAGAGCAGCATGATTTACGCGAAAAAAAATTATTTATTGATAATTTTGATTTAACAAGTAGATGTAAATTAATATTACCGCCAATAATTATAAGTAAAATATAAAATGACTTTAAGCGATTCCATTTCAACTCACAATTTCGATTTTTCAAATGAATGTGACATTTCTAATGACGGTAAATTAACTTTCAGCAAAGATATTAATATTTAATATTTTTTTAATACGTTTGAACGCTATTAAATAAAAATCAACTAATGTGAGTTTTTGTTAAGAAAGTTTCTATAATTAAACGTGATTCTTTCTTGAAAGTCTAGAGTGTCTTTATATGTAAAAAATATGTAAAAAAACTGGTATGAATTTGTTTAAACATTACAATGTCAAAAACTAATAATATCCTTACGAAGAATGTGAATTGGCGCGATAATATTCGCGATATATTCTTGTCAGCGTGTGCGGCGCAAAGATTTATGCATACGTAATCATGCGTACGCGAGCGATAAAATACGCGCTTGCGTATGAGCGCGCGTGTGCGTGCGAATGATTACTGGCGCGATCGTGCAGTTACGATAAACACACACTTCAGTATGCGGAGGCTACGCGGGAATAATTATGAGAAAGAGTATGGCCGATATGTGTGTGGTGCGATCGCATACAGACACATGAAACAAACAAGTTCGCTCTGGCGCGTGCTGGTGGAAATTTCCAGACTCTCATAAATCCTCCCGCGTACGATCTCACACGTTCGGGAAAACGCCGATTTTCTTTACTTATTTTTTTGCTTTGCTTTAAATTCTGCGTCGCAGAGTGCGTGATTGATGGTTAGTCTGTGTCATTTGTTGCTTTTGATGAGAATGAAAACAAGTCCGGAGACACCGAGTTCTCATCGTCAATGTCGGTATATATTAGTCTTGCAATTTATCGCAGTATTTGTCGTTGTAACAAAAAACGTTTTTTTTATTGCTTATAGCTTCTAGCTACAATTAACACAATCAGAGCAAACTAAATGAGAAGAAGAAACGTGTAGAATGTAGATTGATAATATCAGTAACATGCTCTTTTAATTGAATAGCATGTTTATTATATATATTATATATATACGTATTATCTTCAAGAAAATTGAAAAAAATTTGTAGTTTAATTAATGGTTAATACGGAACATAAATCCAATAGTTTTATAAAAAAAACGTCCATTATGAACTTTGATAATACATGTAATTGTACAAAGCTGCGTTGTAAGTTTAATGAACACTTATTGCTGTCCATTTTGTTTTGTTATCATATTTACTATCGAAGTCCCGTTTCCATTGTTTTCCACATTAATGTACGGCTGAAGAAACGATTATTGTCGTCAAAGTTACTGTGATCTCCGATCCTCTCGTGTAATAAGACTGATAATCAGTTTATCGATCGTTATAACGTGATAGACGGAGATTAAAGGCTCGTCTGGTTCATGCTGTTATCTTCGCGATAACATCTAGGCAGATTTACGTTCTAAAATGTTTATTATTACGTGCAGTGATAATTATTGTTCGCTATTCGAAGCGACGGAGATATTATGTAGCTTTTCTGATTAATAGCACTGATTAAACGACGCAAAAAGTACCTTTACATGCATATGTATTCTGACTTTTTTATGAAAAGATTAGAGTTTAAAGAATTCATGAATTATTACATTCTAACGTCAACTCGTCGATTTATTTCATTGATACTTATCATTCTTTTTGTACGCATTACACCTTGCTGAAGTTATTTTTCAACTTCTTATATATCAGCCTTTGCATCATTATTATACTATGCATGATCATGTCATTATTTTGCAATATTACATAAAATGTTGCAAAAAGTCGTTAATACATATATTCATATTGATCGTATGATATTTTAGAATTTTCCACGTGTGTATAATATGATTGTTGCTTTAATTTTGATCTATTTCTCGCTTAATTTTAATTTAATTTTTTTATTTAATTGAATTTCAGAATATAATTAAACAGTAATTCTTTTTAACACACATTATGTAGTATATATTTGAAGCACCTAAACGACTCGTATAAAGCTGGCGCCACATAATTTATGACGCTTTTTTGCGAAGAACTGTCTCGTACAATGAATCAGAGCAGCCCACTTAACTCTTATTCTTCGGAGCGTACTTGCTCAATGATAATAGTGATTGCAATCATCAAGAGAAGTTGCATGTGATTCCGGGAAATAAAACGCACGAGACGTTTCGTCGATGTTCTTCCACGCGCTTTATAAAATAGCATATTCAAATATTGAATTATAGAAGATATATAAAATTTGTACATATTACTTGCGATATTCATAATCATAATGTATACACTGTATTTTCTAAAACTGCTAATTCTAACCACTACACGCTATTTAAAGAAAAAAGAACTATTAGAAAGTTGAAGAGAGATTATAGAGGCTAATTAAGAGAATCGATAAATGATACTGTCAGAAACACTGAAAACAATCCTTGATAAAAGATCAGGCGCTTAAATATTTTTTTCTCGAGTTCTCTTTATTTTATTCAACTAGAAGAAATGATGTTTACGCAACTCAAAGATAAATCTGCGTTAAATATAAAAACTTTTTGTTGCAATCGCACAGTTGAAGAGGCATCACTCGAGATACATTACAGTTATCTCTGTTCTCTGATACTAATACTGATTTAATTTTTATTTTCTATTACTTATATATATCTATGATTGACGAGGAGAGATATGGACTTCATTATCGATTTAAAAACGAGACTGATAACACTCTTTGAAGTGCCTGTTTGTATGATGTGAATCTATTTTAGTTCGTTGAACGAAAAATGTTAATGTTCTCATTCTATAAAGCCTCATGCGATAATAAACTCGATATCATTTTACAATATTGTGCAATTATCACCTCTTGATCTAACTTATTCATACAGCAATGTCGCAATATCGATACGCATTGCGTGTGAAATTTCTTTAAAGCTGAAAAGTAAAAACCGAGATAAAGTGCAGTGAGATATTATCATGGTAATCTCTTAGCACCTTTGAATCTTCCCAAAGTTCATCTGTAAGAGCCACTTGCATAAGTCGCTGTTGCAACGGCTGCCTTTCTGTTTTCCAGCAAACAACGCATTGTTCGAGTCCCTATTGAAACGAACGATCGTGCCAGCAGCGACAATTCGCCGCCGACTCGTTCGACACGCTATCTCGCTGAACGATGACGTCGCGAAATCGGTCTTAGTGTCGGTTATCATTCGCGCCGCCATTGCAAACGCTGAATTATCTGCACGGCGCTTCGTCATTCGCCCGATAACGCGTCTATGCCCACCGCGTGCCCACCGCGCGTTGCGTGTAAAAATCACTTTGCAACTTCGGAACAATGTAGCTAACGAAACGCTCCTCTTTCTGATTGCAGAACGCAGCCTCGACCAAGGCGAAGGAGCTCCCATCCCCGACGACATCGAACAGCGCAAACACCGGCGCCACCGGCAATAACGTCAGCAACGGACACGCTCCTCTCAAGCGCAGTTATACTTCCCTGATGACTACGCTGATGATCGAGCAGCACCGGAAGCTGGACCGCAGCGTCAGCGAACCGACGTCGCGCTACAAAACCGAACTTTGCCGGCCATACGAGGAGAATGGATCGTGCAAGTACGGCGACAAGTGCCAGTTTGCACACGGCTACGGTGAGCTGCGCAATCTCGCACGCCATCCTAAGTACAAGACCGAGCTCTGCCGCACCTTCCACACGATCGGCTTTTGCCCGTACGGCCCGCGTTGCCACTTTATCCACAATTTCGAAGAGGCGCGCATACACAATCAGAAAGTGAGTGCCCAGCTGGGCTCGACACAGCCGAATATATTGAACTTGAACCCGCTGATGAGCTCAGCGGCCGCGGCGGCGATGAGTAGTAACAACATCATAAGTAACAAGATGAACAACGTCAACCTGCTCGAGCAGCTCGCGTCGTCGCAAATGGCCGCGGCGGCATCCAATCTTATGAGAACGAATTCGTTCAATCTCGGCAGTACTTGCACCACCAACACAAACGGTTGCAATCAGCCGCCATTGTTGCGATCATCATCGCTGACGGCTCATCATCATCCTCATGGATCATTGCTCTACCATCATCATCCAGTAAGTGTCGTCAAGTCGGTGATCGGCTCGACGAAGCCGAAACCGCTCAACCTCAGCCCGACCTTCTCTCTCGGTAGCTCCGTCGATTCGGTCTCGCCATCGTCAAGCCTCAGCCAGTCACCGACGAATTCTATGGCAAACTTCTTCAGCGATGATTGTAATCAACAGACAGCGTCGTGCACAAATCTGCCGACGACGCCGTTCAGTTTCGGTCAGGACTTCAGTCTGCTCGCCTGCTCGAGACAGAGCCCGAGTCCGCGCAACAATGGCGTGTGCAGCCCTCTCGCTTCCGACGAAG